GGGCCACAGTAAAATTATCAAAGGCTGACTGGTCCGCGGCAATAAAAAGGTTGGGGACCACTGCTTTAGGTCACATCTTTTTTTTCTGCCTCTGCCCTCTGGAATAGCATTTACACAGGGATGGGCTGATAGGGGTTTGCACTGATTCGGATGAGCCTCTAGCTAGGATTCTGCCCAGTTTGGTGAACCCCCAAATGCTGCCCCTGGCTGGCTCCACCTACCCCACTCTTCCCAGGAGTCTCCACGTGGCCTGTTCATCATGCCAGATAAGTGCAGGGCCCGCATGGAGGATCAGCGAGGGGGGATAAACGGGCCAACCGAAGGGTCCAGAAGTCTGGAAACGGGCCTGTTCTGGTCTCCAGAGAGCCTCTGGAGCCTGGGGGAAGCAGGGAAGCCTTTCCAGAAGTCCAAGAAAAGCCTCCAGAGCCTGGGGAGGGTGAAAACTACCCCCCTCCACCGTGGTGCAGGAGGCCAACTAGTCCATGGCCACATCCACCCAGCAGTGGGGCAGTGAACCCGTTGTTGCAATTTTTGAAGCCCACCCCTGCATTTACCCCAAAGTTTGCAAAATGTTGACCCTGTCTGACTTTTAGCAGCGTCCTAAAGTCTCCGCTTTCTCCACAGTAGTGAGCCAGGACAGTGTGTGAGCCACTATTCAGTTGTTTGTTGATAATTGTTTGCCTTCTACCCTACCCACTCTGACGTAGCCACCTCTATATATTGTTTATGTTATTATTTTTAATCATTGATAGCCATCTGGAGTTGTATATAAGAGATCAGCTATAGAAGTTGAAATTATAAATAAATAAATATATTCACTGATACAAGCATTAATTTTCTAAAAAGCAATTTGTGATCCTCTTTTATCTGCCCTTGCTGCAAAATGTTGTGCATTAACCCTCTTCTTTGTTGTGACAAGCAGGCACAGTTTCACAATACGGAGTTGCAGCCACTCATCATTTGAATTTTCTAAGAAAGTTTATGGTCCTATTTGGGGGCTAGAGGCATTCTGGTAATATCTCAAGGGGATCCTAAAATCTTTTTTTCCCATGATAAAGTGCTTATAATCTCCTTCCACATTATTCTTCTTCTAAATGTACAATACACAAAAGTTAGCAAGGAAAGTCACTAAAATTCCACTCTATTACCAAGAATGACCACAATGAGATTGTAATGTAGCTGATAAAATATTCTTGCAGGATTCATATTGGAAACCACCCAAAATCATTGTAACAGTGAGATGACCATCATTTAAATTTAATAAATAAATAAAATAAAATAAAACTACCAGAAAAACTGTTTTTTTCTACGCAAATTTAATTCACACTGGTACATACTTAAATTGAAGATGAGACAAGCTGATTTATTTGACGTCTGACTGTTGGCTTGAATTTTGATTGTCCCAAATCAGATATAACAAACTCAAGATAAAAGTAGCTAACAAAAAGGGTTTTTCACTTATTCAGCTGGAAGCACCGTTTAGTCTTTCATATGTGTAGTTTAATGACCTGTGAAATGTTACTGCTTGGTTTTATGTGGATGAGAGAACCCCAGCGGTGAAAGTACATGGCTCCTTACAGTGACTAAGGATTTCTCTCTGGCAATTCTCTTTTGTCAACATTAAATAATGTGACCAGAATTGGCATTTTAAAAAATGAATGCTCATTTCTAGGATTTTGAAAGGTTGTAATATATTTGGAAAACCCTTTTGAAAACCCTGTCTGTTACGTCTGCATTGGTGATATGAAATATCTTTGTAACTATTGTTATATGTTTTCTTCAGGAAATTAGAAGGCAGCAACTTGCAGAAGCAGCAGAAAAAAGACAAATGGAGGTAATTGGATATTTGGAACAGCAATAGATTAAAAGAAAACCTCCTCCTATAATGAGTGTGAACAATAGAAAGATCTTTCCTGGAAACAGCATCTCTTAAGAATGTGCAAACTGGCCATTATTATACTATTGGCAATGGGGTTATACTGAAACTCAGCACTACAACTAACTTTCCCAAAAATAAGGTAAAGATAAAGGTTCCCCTTGCACATATGTGCTAGTCCTTCCCGACTCTAGGGGGCGGTGCTCATCTCCGTTTCAAAGCCGAAGAGCCAGTGCTCCGAAGACGTTTCCATGGTCATGTGGCCAGCATGACAAAACGCCAAAGGGTCACGGAACGCTGTTAGCTTCCTGTTGTAGCCTCGTAAGTCCTCGGACTTACGAATGACAGCTCGGCAGCAGCCAGGCGTGTCTTAGCCAATCAGACGCGCCTGCCAGTTGCCGGGCTGTCATACGCGAGGCTATTTTTTGAACTACTTGACAGCCGAGTATTGAAGGCTGTCAGACGAAGAAGAGGTGTCGGTCTACTCACAGTTGATGTTCTATTCGTTCTTGTTTGAATAAACGGTTCAAGGTTACCTCAGACGCCTCCTCGTAATTTCTACCGCCGATTTAACACTTCCCACCAAAGGGGTTCCTGTTTTTCTAGTTGCATTTTTATGTCCTTTCAAACTGCTAGATTGGCAGAAGCTGGGACAAATAACGGGATCTCATTCCGTTACGTGACACTAGGGATTTGAACCACCGAACTGCCAACCTTTCTGATTGACAATATTAGCGTCTTATCCAATGAATCACCATGTCCCTTCAAAAAAAACCACCCTACTCAGTGCTTATTAATGAGAAGTAATAAGATCATGGATATGTGAAATAAGAAGCAATGAGATAATATTTGCAATGGTGTTGGGGGAGCTGTTCACAATAATTTATAGAGAAAGACCTACAGATTAACAGGCTCTTATGTCTAAAACAATCTAAATATCAATGATGTCCTAGAAGAGGTAACACAAGTCGCTCAAATTTATTATTCCAATTGATATGGAGAGGAGTTGGGCTGAGAATCTCAAGATTAAATGTGTAGGCATCACTGATTTAAGTAAAGCAAAAATACCAAAGTTCAGGATTCTTGATAGATTGGTGTTCTCTCAAACACACTGCCAAACTTTGCTCTAATATTTGAAGGTTGACCAAAAAGATAATACCTATAAATTGACTCTTTGCTTGAACTATTTCTTTATGGTGGGAGGCCTCCCATTTGATGCTCTCAACACCTATACATACATTTTTCTGGCGCAATCCATCCCTGCCACCATCACTATTATAAAAATCATCTTTGCAGCAAAGGAGAGAACCTGTATAATAATGCCAAAATCACAAGTTTTAAACCACATGGCATAAGATCAGGCAAAGCAACAGGAAAAAATAAATAAATACAAGTTAAGACAGCTTTTTCAAGTATTTCCTGACACATTCGGGGGAGGGCGGGTGTTGTCATTTAAAATTTTTAATTTCTGCATGGTGTTTCCTGCCCCTTTTGTGAATTTAATGTATTTTAGGGTAGTTTTTTCCCAAATAAAACTACAACGGCTGAGTCTGTAGTTAACTTAAAAAATGAGTGAGAAATGGGGATTATGCCCCAAAGTAAGGGGAAAAACTAGCTAGTCTTTAGCACACATTGTAGATTTAAGTAGGACAAAGAAAATGTAGATATCCTCTGTCCTATGCTAGGTTTGAATAGGTAGATTCAATTTTATAGAAAGAAATAACTGCAGTTATTTCAGTTTTTCTTTTTTAACATGGAAGTGCAATGGGTGTTGTTTGTTTCCAATTCTTCAGTGGAATGAGAAGTTTTGCCTTTGCTTTTTAACAGGTGTCAAATTCCAGTCAGTTGCTTCTTTTTAACATCTGCATTAGAGAAAATGTGAACAGCAATATCATGTGTAAGACAGTTGTGACTGATTAATAGACAGCCGATAAATAGCAATAATCCTATATATCAAAGGAAGAACATGTATATATATATATATATATATATATATATATATATATATATATATA